GCCCAGGCGGGTCTCGAACCCGCGGGCTCAGTCAATACACTCACCTCAGCCTCCCAAAGGTGCGGGATTACAGGCTGAGCCACCAAGCCCGGCCCACCCTATTTTTCTTATTAGTATACATGTCCATTGTTGAGACTCTTTAAAAAGAGAAGGAAATTGAAGAAAATAAACCACTCATAATCACATCACTCAAATACAACTATTGCTAGCATTTTGTTGTGTAGACTTTTGAATTCAATGTATGTATTTACACACACACACACACACACACACACACACACACACACTTTTTTTTTCTTTTTTAGTCAGGGTCTCACTGTGTTACCCAGCCTGGAGTTCAGTGGCACAATCACAGCTCACTGCAGCCTCATACTCCTGGGCTCAAGTGATCCTCCTCAGCCCCCCAAAGTGTTGGGATTATAGCCGAGAGTCATGGTGCCTGGCCATATACACACTTTTAAAAATATAAATGTTTCCCTTCATTTTATTTATTTTATTTTATTTTATTTATTTATTTATTTTTGAGTTGGAGTCTCACTCTGTTGCCCAGACTGGAGTGCAGTGGCCATTCCGGGCCACCGCAGCCTTGGCCTGCTGGGCTCTGGCAATCCTTCCACCTCAGCCTTCCGAGTAGCCGGAATTACAGGCATGCGCCACCACACCCGGGTGATTTTTTTATTTATTGTAGAGATGAGGTCTCGCTGCCCAGGCGGGTCTCGAACCCGTGGGCTCAGGTAATTCACTCACCTCAGCCTCCCAAAGGCGCAGGATTACAGGCTGAGCCACCAAGCCCGGCCCCTCATTTTATGAAAACATTACATCATTTGGACCAGAGGAAACTGGTCTGGCCGAACTGATATTCAAGTAGGGTTTTGCATTTCCTATCATATATAAGACAACTCTTCTGGGCTGAGTGTGGTGTCTCTTGCCTGTAATCCCAGCACATTAGGAGGCCGAGGTGAGAGGACTGCCTGAGCCCATGGGTTCGAGGCTAGGCTGGGTAAACTTGGCGAGACCTTATCTCTACAATAAATCAAGAAAAATTAGCTGAGCCTGGCGGCATGTGCCTGTAGTTTCAGCCACTTGGAAGGCTGAGGCGGAAGGATTGCCTGAGTCTAGCAGGTTGATGCTGAAGTGGCCATAAGCATGCCACTGCACTCCAGTCTGGGCAACAGAATGAGACTCCAACTCAAAAACAAAACAAAACAAAACAAGTAGCAAAGGCAGATTTTCAATGCCAGGTATAATTCTAATCCATTTTTACAACTACTATGATAAATTGTCTCCCAATGCTAACACAGCTGTATTGATCATTCAATGGGTCCCTGCCCCTCTACTACTTGGAGTAGCATATTGTCCAGTGCATGGTTAATGCTTGTGTTTTTTTTTTTGAGTTGGAGTCTCACTCTGTCGCCCAGACTGGAGTGCAGTGGCCGCTCCCGGCCACCGCAGCCTCGACCTGCTGGACTCCGGAGATCCTTCCGCCTCAGCCTTCCGGGTAGCCGGAATTACAGGCGCGCACTACCACGCCCGGCTAATTTTTTGATTTATTGTAGAGATGAGGTCTCGCCTGCCCAGGCGGGTCTCGAACCCGTGGGCTCAGGCAATCCACTCACCTCAGCCTCCCAAAGGCGCGGGATTACAGGCTGAGCCACCGAGCCCGGCTTGGTTAATGCTTGTTAATGCATGGTTAAGAGCTCCTGTGAATTTCTAATGCAAGTCTACATGATTTGGGTGCCCCTTCTAGTAGTCCTAAGGCTGGCTTAGGTTCTTCTCTGTGCCTTCAAAACAACAGACACTTGTCTATGTCTCCCACCAATCTATAAAGCTTCTAGAAGACAAGGCTTGTGTGTTGTCTGCTAGTGCATTCTATCCGTTTCTCATACCTAACACAGTGAATGCTCAGGTGATGTTTGTTGAGTGCAGGCATGAATGAACGACCAGACCTGTAACTACAACTGTAACAACAGGCATGCGCCACCACGCCCAGCTAATTTTTTCATTTATGGTAGAGATGAGGTCTCGCCAAGTTGCCCAGGCTGATCTTGAACCCGTGAGTTCAGGCAACCTTCTCACCTCGGCCTTCCAAAGTGCTAGGATTATAGGCGTGAGCCACCACCGCGCCGGAGTTTTTAAAAAAAATTTATTGTAGAGAGAAGGGCTCATCAAGTTGGTCAGGCTGGTCTCGAACCCCTCAACTCCTGCAATCCTCTCATCTAGGCCTCCCAAGGTGTTGGGATTACAGGCGTGAGTCACCGCGCCAGGCTAATTCTACCCTTCTTTTGGGTGTCTTCAGGTTACCCTAATGGCCGTAAGCATTCAGTTTACCAGGCTCTGCCACCGTCAGAAGCCAGAGCTTTGAATTCACCACGCGGAATTCCGCCTTCCTTGTACTTCCTGCTTCTGCCGGAAATGCTTGCTACAGGAAGTGACGACAGCTGGGTGGACTTAAGGGCTGGGACTTTCTCTTCTTCCCCACGCGGTCGAGGCGACCGGTAGGCCTTGTCAGCTCGTCTTGCGTGATGCCGGGAAAACTTCGTAGTGACGCTAATTTGGAAGCAGACATGGCCATGAAAAAAGTGGAGACACTGCGAAAGCAAACTGAGAAGGTGATTTCGAGGGTTCTGGGGCAAGAGGGACCAGGGGCCGGGGCGCTGAGAGGAGCTGGGCCCGGGGGTACTGGGGAAGTGCCGGGGCTGGGAACGTGCGCGCTGCGCGGAGCAGCAAGTCCAGAGACCTGGCGTGGGTCTCGGCGGACGGGCGCCCTGGGTCGGTGTTCTCCCGGGCTAGTGGGCGCGCAGCCGGCCCGGCCACTTCCTCTCAGCTTTTACGCATCCACAAGTCCCAGAGTCTCTGGCGGAGAGCCCGATCGGAGCTCGATGGAGGACCGGGTGTCCCACGTGGCCCCTGGCGACTGCGTTCCGCACGCGATGCGCAAAGTTGGACGTTCGCTGTTAGGCGCAAGTTGTTTGCTCGGACTCTAGTTCCGGCTTGAGCGTGCGCGAAAGGAACTTATAGATCAAGTCAAGGTAGGAACAGGAGATTTAGACGAAGCTAGAGAAATCTTAACCCCATTCGCGCACGTGGGCGGCGCTTGCAGTAACTTTTTTTTTTTTTAACCCTAGTAAGGGAAGTAGTTTGTTTTCCAGTAAGCCGCATTTAGCAGATGATGTAACTCAAGTCCTTTTAGTATGTATTAACTAGATTTCCCATGGAAATGTAATGGCATGTGCTGTGTTGCCAACTGTACACCGTATATTTTATATCTATACATATGCCAGCAGTGTAAATAACTTTTGACAGCCGTCTGCTGCTTTACTGTTGTTTCCTTAGCTAGGGATTTAACTTATGACTGAGTCTCTGTTCAGAGATAAAGTGGGAACAAAGATGGTCCCTGAACTTGCAGTGTGTTTAAAATTTCCTTCTTTTTTTTTGAAAGCAGGATTTATTGAGAGGACAGAAAAACTCTCACGGTGGGAGGGGACCCGAAGGGGTTGCCCTGGAATTTCCTTATTTCTATGTCTTCTGACGTGGAGGTCTTAGAATAGCAGTATTTTGGCATTGTAGAAAGGCATCAGAGCACAGACTTGTACCCACGGGTCGGGGGAGGGAGTGGGCGTGGCTTACGTTGTGCCAGTCTGTGTTCAATTGTGGCACTCCCAAATCTAGAGGGACATGACCGAACTTCATTGCCTTCCAAAAGAGACGACCAGAATGGGAAACATTCTTATTTGGTAGAAAAGAGGGAAGAACTGAAATCTTGGGAGGAGACTGGATTGATTTCCAGATATCTGAAGGATAGTCATGAGGCAGAGAAATGATTTGGGAGAAGAGGCCAGCCCAGAAGTTTCAGGGATGCAGATTTAGCTCAATACATTCTTTTGAGATTGTTCTGGGACTTTCCTAGAAAGGTTTTAATGAGGCTACAACACCTGTCTAATTGCTTTCAGTAATAAGAAAAGTTGGAGAGGATAATACATTTCAGAAAGGAGTCATAATCACTTAGATGGTTTGGTTTTGAGGTTTCGTTCCTTCCACATCCTTTAACTTGTGCATTTATTTTGTATTGCTTTGAATTAAATACATTTTTTTTAACACATGAAATGATAGATTGTGAATTTTTTTTTTTTTTTTTTTTTTGAGTT